GTGTAGCCTATAGAACTAGACTGAAAGACCATTTAAAGGCCTTTGCAGGTGGTTTGAGTTAATTAGCTGATTAGATCCATTTTGAACCTTTTCACAAGATTCTAATTTTCTGATATGCTGAATTTGAGATTTTCATTTGTTGTCATTTGTAATCATCAAAATTAAACGAAATAAACATTTGAAATATATGAGTTTGTATGTAATGTATGAATATTTTTAAATGGAATTACTGAAATAAATCTACACCTCAGCACCTGTAATCATGTACACAGTACTAGCACCTATAACCTTGTATTTTTCAGCACACGCTTCAAAGGCCATGACTTAAATGTGGTTGAAGAACAGGGACTGAGATTGCACTTTCTGCTGCTTGAGCTGACGGTCTTGTGATTTCATTGTCCACAGATTCAAGGCTGCCTGTAAGAGACAAAAAGAAACATATTTATGGGCTTCTTTCATGATACAGTCAAAATGGTTCTACTTTGAACAAAGACTTATGTATCATCCTGTGAACATATGGCTTTTCAAAACACTTCCATTCTGTTTTATATCTCCAAGACAAAAATAAACATTCCCTGAAGCAGGCATGACTTGACGAGACACGATTAAACTTTAGACAGATGAAGTTTTATCTACCTTTGTCACAACAACTTTCTGTTGTCTATTATTGATGGATTATTATGAATTCAATCAAATATAAAACATTTCTGAAAAGTTGCTATACCTCTATGTAAATGTGACTGTAAGCAGTCCCAGCTGTTCATTCTTTGAGCTTTTGTCTTCAACATCCCCCCACACCCCCAGTCCTCTCCTTGTATGGCACAGTAAAATAAACAAAACTAATATGAAGCAGATGGAAGCCATATCCATGTCACCTCCTGATCGATCCATTGATAAAACAGCTTGAGTGAGCAGGCAACAACTTATGTAAACCAATGACAATTCTTTGAGTGCTGACGAAGATGGTTAGAAAAGCTTTGCTGGCAATTTTTATGTAGTCAGTAATCCGGTGGTTTTTACGCCAAACCAAAATCAAGAAGCTGAATCAATGGTGGCTTCATCTTTCTGTGTCACCTGAATGTGAAAGGAAAATATTCAACTTCAATTTGATTCAAAAACACTTTATTGATCCCAAAGGGAAATTACAGTTCCGAACAACTCAACATGTGATAGAGCACATTTCAAATACATACAAATGGACTTTGCAGTGCAAAAAAAGCAAGCCTTTAGATTTTTTCCCCTGAAATTTAAATCAATGGTACCACTATTTTCATTACTTTGACTTTTTCATTGTTATACACATGTGGCTGAGTTCCTGAGATATAAACTGAAAGTAGGACTAATAAACCGGTTGTGTTCTTTTATTTTTCTACCTGGATTACTGAGATGCATCAGGACATGTTGTGTTCTTATGTTTCTAATCTGCAACTGCAGCTACTATCAGTTTTAATATTTCAGGCGGCCATGTTGGATTTGGAAAATGGAGACAGTGAGGAATGTTCAAGTTTTCATATTTTGACTTCGGAGGGGGGTTCCAGTTAATTCTTCCGATGTGAAACTTTAATACTTTGACTTCTCTGTTCGAATTTCCCGAGCCCATCTGGTGACGGATGAGAAACAATAATGTGTGAACACAAGATCATTTTGAGCAGCCGAATTAAGTGTTTCTTACTAAGGATTACTTCATGCCTAACCACAAGTTACTGAAGTGTGTCATTGAAATTCCTGTAATAAAATAAAATGTAATTAATTCAAACTTGTTTATGTAAACAAACAACAGTGTGCATTGAAATGACTGCAATAATGC